GGGTGTTGTAGAGCATGCTTCCGAAATGGGTTATATTGTCACGGGTGGTGACCAAAAGAACAATAAATAAACAGAAAGAAATAAGCGTTTAATGTGGCGAACTTGTGCCAAAACTAAAAGGGTACAAAGATAATAACAGAGCGTCGCGGGCGTCGAAGTCGGCGTAGCAGCACAGTCGAACGCTGGGGCGAAACTTTTGGTCATCACCCGTGACAATATTATCGATCCCAAAATACTATTATTATTTTCAGTTTTATTCATCGCGTATATACTTGAAGGACCTTAGGAATCACCCACGAGATGCAACAAGCGCCTTTTGACCTCACGGTACCTAGAAGTGATGTCTAAAAAAAAAGAAAATATATATATCGTATTTTTCGCACTGTTGTCCGAAAACCGGCTGGAAGTCCGCACGTAAAACGTTTTCACACACAGCACGTCTTTTCGAATCCCTGCATTCAGGGCTCACAAAGAAGCGTGTATACCACATAAGTTATTAGTAACATTCCCCTCACCCTCAAAATCCGTCATGTCTCGTGAAAAATATATATTTTTTGAAAGAACACATCCTTGTATACTCCGCACCTGCAGATACTGTAAAACATTTATAGTTCGCGAGCCCTCTATTTTCGCGAAATGAAACATTCGTGAAATATACACGTTTGCATCTCCGGTCTAAGGGGCGGCCATCTTCCTCAGTGGGGTGCGCTTTTGGGCGCGGCCATAATCCGATTATGGCGCCTTAGCAAGGCTTCGTAATCGGATTATTACTCGTCCGAGCGCACCCCAGCCAAGCAAGATGGCAGCGCCCTGAAGCCGGACTTGCAAACGTGTATAAGGGCGCGGAAAGTTTCGCTCCTTAAAGGAGCACTCAAGTGGTTTTTGAGTTCCTGTTTTGATGATGACAACTAAATCTAGACGCCCTAAATATCCCTAAAAACCAAAAGCATATAGTCATACGGTGATTATTTCTATAATAAAAATGTAATTGAAGGCCGCCGAACCTCGGATCCGTCCAAAAGCGAAACCACTCTCATTGGTCACCGCTCGCATATCAATACGATCTCCAGCCAATGGCGTTGGACGACGTTCCGTCGCGCAGTGGTGCCAAGGTAGCCGCACCGGCCGAAAGAACCTCTTTGTCATTCGTGCTTCAATCATGGCGGAGTTCTGTACACTCGAGGACCTGACGTCGTTAGAGGTTGAAATTCTTCAGCGGACAGCCGACCTGCGGATGATTTCCTATGACGCCACCCCAACGTGCGAAGTGGACGATAGCAGCGCTTCGGAGTCGTGTTCGGGTTCCGAGGACGACGAAACGCAGACCTTTTCGAGCGTTCTTCATTTTGCGGTTGGGGCAATCCGTAACCAAGCAAACGTTTGGCATCGCAGCGTAACCTCCGGTACGTGATGTCAAACGATGTCGTCACGTTGACTTTCGCCTCGGGAGGACGGCAGGCTGGTTCAGACATGTGCAACGAGCGCAGTACCTATGACTGCGTCCGCTGCAACCGGAGCGACCGGAACGACCACTCTGCGCCGCGCGTACACACACCTGCAACCACTGCAACAAGCGCAGAGGGTCGGCAGCACGGCGACCGCTTCTACGCCGCCGTCAGCTGTTTTAGCGGCGCCTCTAAAAAGGGGACGCACTGCCACTCCATGCCATAACAGAATATAGACAGACAGTTTTTAATAGCCTAAAGCTTTATATATTTTTTTTCATGATAGGCTTGCACGGTACAGTGGATGAAAAAAAGAGAAAAAGATGCACTACGCCGTCCTGGACGATCAAGCTCTAATTCATGACTTTGCCAATAGTACAAATATCGTCACACGCCTTTTCTGCGATTATAAAAGACGATGTAACCATAGCAGCGATATAGCTACGTAGAAATATGATTTCGTGATCAGACGTTGCGAGCGTTTAGGATTGCTAACACTGATCACTTTTCTCCGGTGATGAAAACGTGTGAAAATTCGCATCCTTTATACGGTACGCGCCAGTAATACCTTGAACTTGAGCACACGCATGAAATGTGCCAAACAAGAAATCCAGGCGATGTTCGAGGACACAAATGCTTAGAAATCACCACTGTAGTCGAAGTAAACAAACACGACGGCGCGGGCGTCGCTGCTGTCTTGAGAGTGCCGCCACGACATCGCCGCACGAGTAGGTGGATCTTCCCTTCTAGTAAGTGCTGGGTTATCATAGCGACACACGACGAAAATTTACAGTCAAGGATAGCGGTTTTACGCGGAACGATGAGCTTTCACCACGCCGTCCACATCGACGATCACCACCGATGCCATGTTTGCAGATGGAGCCCGGCACGGCCGGCTTGCAACGAGGCGCGAGTTCATGATACGTGCGCTTCCGCGCTTCCCGAGCGACCGGGAAATTCACCCCCCGCGGAGGAAGGCAAGGAGAAGACGTAGTCCCTTGTTTGTGAAACAATAATTGCAGTATCGCGTATTCTAAACTAGAACTATTTCACATCTTGTGAAATTATCATGCACAACATATCTAAATTAACTGAAAATTGTTTCTTCAGCTAAACTTTACAAAGGCCGCCAACATTTTCAAACATACGGTAATTTCATTGGTTGGCGCAGGAAGAGCTTATTTTATTGCTGCGTGATGAATAGGCGGTTCTGCCTTTTAAAACTGAAGATACTCATTCACTGACACTTCCTTAACGCCATCGCACCAAAAAGTAGCTTCCCCAAAAACCACTTGAGTGCCCCTTTAAGAGTTGGAAGGAAGTTGACAAATTTAAATCAAAAGTGGAGCCGCAAAATAAAATTAATATTTAAGCATTTTTTGTAGTTCGTAAGCCAAGCCATTAAAACTAAATTGGCAATAAGACCTCATAATTGAAAGGCGCGTCATAACGAAACACTATTTAGTTCAAGGATGTAATTTTGTTTTATAGTATTCGGCGATTCACAAATAAAAATGTGATCTACCATCGGTAGTGGCATGCAGTCTTGAAATATATGCCATTGAAAAAAGAAAATCATTTTAAGAACTAAGGATTATTTACTGAAGGGTTTTAAATTTTATGCTCAGAACTAGCACACCGGGTCACCGGAGAAAACGAACAGGTGTTACCTGCAGAGCATAAATCAGACGGACTTTGAAGAGCTAATAAACGAATCAGGAAACTAGCCCTCTGGAATAAAGGAGAAATGCAAAATTGTCAGACCAATCCGTGATCAGTTTAAGCGTTTGTAAAGGCAATTTCCTGAGTTTGTAATAAACTTCCAGCAGGGTCACTCACTCGACATCAAACCTAGAGCTTTGCTTCACACCGTGCTGTTTAAATGCCACAGTTTGTCGTGACTATCAGATCAGCACGAAATGGCACAAAATGAATTCGAATTTTGGTTCGTATATTCAGATTGAGGGCGGCAGATTCACACCATATACCTTCACCGCTAGCCATAGTTTCGTGTTATATGTCTTTATATTGCAACGCTAAGTTCATTCATTAGCTGCAGAAATTATTAGGTTCCCCTCGAATAGACCCGGTACAAATAAAATTTACATACATGTTTACGGTTGGTCGTAAAATTATTGGGTAGAATTAATGATACAATCTACAATGATTAGCGATCCTTGTTGCGGTCGTTGGCTCGTGGCACCTAGTAAACTTGTATACCCAAACAAAATGCACGAAAGCGAAGTAGTTGACAACTACAAGCGCCTGTCATTGCCCACAGGCTTGTGTTAGTCTAGCCTCTGTGTTCGTGCAAACATTTCTATATCTACGAAATACTATCATGCCAAAGGTCAAGTTTGTGGAGGCAACATGCTAAAGTTGGGTCGCATTGTGCACCCAACATGCACGAAAGAAACAAAATACTGCACATCAAAACTTGACAAGTCATGGGGTGGTGTTTGAGTCAATCAACGCAAACCTCTTACGTTTATTAAAAATTAGTGCCAGTGAGATACCAAGCCTTTCCACAAAACTTAAACGTGACTGGTCCTCCTTTACAGGAAAAATATTAGATAATCCTGCCTTACTGATTGGAGTGGCTTATCGCCGATTCACTGCTTAAAAGTAGCGTCAACCAAATTCAAAGTCGATATTAATACACAATCACGTTGAAGCCTTTATTTTTTACCCTACCGTAAAAGCGCCACTCAGAAAACACTTGCAACCATCGACCCGAATAAGCTACGCTGCGCATATAAAAGACTTTCCGCGTTTTTGTTTTGTATTATTATATATTCTTATTATCAAGTCTTCTTGTTTCAAACTTGACGGCCCATATAAGCATTACCCCAGACCAAATTGTTGGAATAATCACTAGATTATAGTAACGAAGACAAATTTTGTGTTATTTGTTCGACAAAACGTTGCTTGATTAGTAAGGAAAAAAAAAACTGTCACCGCAGTATCTTTTCCAATTTCCAGCACAGCAACAACATAAAATTTCGCATCTGTTGGAGGGCGGGCTCAACGAAAAAAAGCGTTTCATGCGTTCAAATAAGCGACTCCACCTGTGGATATTCCATATGTGTTGATGTTCGGCTTTTAGAGCATAACAATATATTCCACGTGAATAAACTCCACGTGTGTTGTCGTACAGGTACTATTAGGCCGAAAAAGTCAGGATTCCTTTAGGCTATCTATATACTGTATGTTGCGCAGTAACGTTCAGTCTACTGAAACAGTAGTGGGAGGAGGTCGATACTTTGCAACTCCGCGAACTTCCCGACTGCTAGGTAAGTGATTACTAGGCTGCGGGCTACTAAGCTGTTACACCTGCTTACGTTTTTTTTTTTTTTTTTCTTTAGTTCAATGAATGTATGAAGTATCAGCTTCCTTCGGGAACAATTGCACGCCTCGACAGTCGACATTATTTTTGGTCTAGTTCCTCGGTAGGGAGAATTATGGTAATCCTGGAACTCTTTAGCTCTTGCAGGGGTTACCATGGATGAAGATGGCTCTCAAGTACCAATAAATACTCCTAAGAAACAATACGCCATGGATCGCCGTTGGCACATTCCCTTTCTTGGGGCCCTGGTGACTTTCTTCTCGTCGTCGGTGTACAGGCTATCGGGCCTCCTTTTTGTAAACATCATGGAAGAGTTTAATGTCAACCGTGAAGAAGCTTCGTGGCCCGTGAGTATGATACCCACCGGCTACGACATGGGAGGTAGGAAGACAAACCTTCACTAAAATATATATCAATAGCTCTCGAGTCTACGTGGCGTTTTCTCGTTTCTCAGTCGGTTCAGATAAAAAAAAAATTTTGTTTTTAGCAAAAGGGCGAAGTTTGTGGCCATGGTGGTCATGATGGTCACTGGGAAAGAGATGAAATTTGTGATTTGTAAGCTAATTAACTAAAATGTGTTAAACAACTTTTCTAAATGTTTATTTTGGGAGAAAATTGTATTTGTGGCATTACCTTTCGAGGAAAATATGGTCTAACAGTGTCCCGAGATTTGGATTCAAAAGATTGCAGTGGGTGCAGCGGGTCACAAAATGCCATCCTTGTAGACGGCTTCAAACCGATACTAAACGCATAGCCCCAGTGACGTCGATTCCTTCGCCCTCCGCCGCTCCTCAAACGCAGCAGGTTGGGAGAGCCCGTCTTCACTTTTCCCACCTAGTTTCACCTTAAGGGTGACATCTCTCGCCCCATAGCGCCCATTGCAAAATGTTTAATCAAACTTTCCAATGCATAAATTATGCCTCAAAAATAGACGTCATAAAAGTAAATCTAATATATTAACTAATTAGCTAACGAATTTATTTATGCCGTCTCAATTTGAACGGCCGTAATGGAAACATTCTTCTCCACAAACTTGACCCCAGGTAAAAAAAAGAAAAAAAACCTAATGGAAGTTTATTTTCTAGATGCGAAACGACTAAAAAAGAAGCACCTTGTATGATGCCTCCAGCCATGGCTTACAAACAAGTCAGAAAACAAGTCTGTCGTTTAGTTCGAGTAATTCTACCCTTCTTCCTCTTTTTATGTCAATCCCGTATGAGCGCCATTTTTCGCAGGAGCTGAATTCAAACACCGGGCTTTGTAATTTCAAAAGGTTGCACGTCTATTCGCAGTGCCGTTTTCTCGTCTAGGAGGATAAATAGTGAGAAAAGAACAAACAAACAAAAAGTAATTGCAGTTTTATCGATGAGAAAACATACGAAGCAAAAGTGAGACAAGAAAGTGAGACGCAAAGATGCAACAATCGAGAGAATTATTGCAGGATGTTTGGTTCCGATTGAACAGATTAAAAAAAGGGGAGGGGGGATAAGAGTTAGACAAGTGCCTTCTTCACCTTGTATGTATCAACCTCCGCGGACATTATATTGCAACGCGCGTCGGCGAGCAAGCGCGTGCGTGGCCCAGTCAATAAACAAAACAAACAAAAAAAAAAACGTGCGTGGCCGAGTGGTTGCCGCACTTGACTTTCGTGCGGTAGCCCAGGGTTCGATTCCTGGGAGCGCCGCCCCTTTTATTTTCTTTCAGTTTAGATTTCTGTTAATTTCGAGAACCGTGTTGCTTGCTTTAGGTTAGAATGTTCTACGCGCCGAATCTTCTAGGCCGATTGTTCGAGAAGTCCACGCGTGTACAAAAAGGGCCCCGCGCGGCGAGCCGGAGTCAGTCTCGCCCCTGCGCTCGATCCTGGGGTTTCGCCGACATCGACGCCCGCGACGCTTTGCTGTTTTCTTCTGTTCCCTTTTTGTTTTGGGCACAAGTTCGCCCCATTAAACGTTTAGTTTCTTCAGTTATCTTAGCCCCATTAATTGTCACTCGTGACAATATGAGGGGATAATCGTCATAGTAATTTGGTTAATTAACTAAAATATCTTAAGTGTTATATTAATGGATTTAAGACTATCGTCGAAATAGCAGTATTGACGGCTATTACAAATAGAGGCCAATTCAATCCAAATGATTTGTGAAGAGGTAATGTTTTTTGTTTTTTTAAAGTATTGATCGATCAATTTTAACGTCGTTTTTTTCACTGATTTAAAAATTGCTTTTAAAAAGAGCGCTGCAAGCCCTGGCTAAACCCTTTGAAGATTGACCTAGTGGTTTCAATCATGTCATCACTTGTGGTCCGTTTGCCTTGCTGCGTACCCGACCCAGAGGAATAACACGGAGCCAACGGTTTCAACAACAAGAAACTACATTGAATGGGATAAGGACGAGACGATTAACATGGTTACCAGCGGCGCCTGAGTCCAGGCAGCGACTCCCCGTGCGCCGCCTCTGATGCGCCTTATCAAGGCGGCGCACGCGATGTGCGCGTGGCTGGCGTGACGTCGCCGTCACGCGGGAAAAGTTCGGCACCTTTGCCTCGCAGTCGGGCAACTGGGCTGTGGAGCCGCCAAAGTGCCCACACTCCCCCCTCCCCCCCTTCTCAAGCTTCATCCGGCATGTCGATGACCGAGACGACGTCGTGGGCGTCAGGGGGTGGATGGCGCTGCTGGGCAGACTGGCGTTGCAAGTCCGGCCGGCGCCTGCTGAATGAGCGCGATGGCCCGTTGGAGGTCGCTCTCGCCACGCTGGTTGACGGATGCTATTCGCGACTCCAGCAAAACGGACGCCACCAAGCGGGAAAACCGGGAACCAGCCGGTCCAGGTCGCTCCGCGCCCCTCCGCGCGTCTCTAGTGGCTTTCGCGGACACGTGTTGTCGGCGCCATGGCGAACAATGTAATTTCACGAAGGTCCGAAAATTTCTTAAGTTTGCCTGAGTTTTCATTAGTGCGGTGAAGCGTCAGTAGATTGTTTCCTTCCACCACGTGTTTTCGATTTCTTGGATGAAGAGGAATCGCGGAAAAACGTTTTGATTTCTTGTTTGTCTCGAATCACATTCAAAGTGACGACTGCTTGGTAACTGATAAGGGGTTTCGTTATAAGGATGTAGAACAGTGGGAGGACGACAGACGAGGCATTTCACTGGAGGGAACACCAATGCCACCTCCTTCAAGTGAATGGGAAGGTTCGATAGCTGCTTTTCTTGAGTTTGGTTGTGTTCGATTAGCTGCAAGTTTGAGCCACCGACGCCGGTCGGTGCGTTGGCTAGTCATCTTGGCTGCTTTTCGCCGAAAAATCCGCTGGACCACACTGAAGGAGTTGGACTGATTTCGCAATTATTTGATTCAGGAAAACCTGCTCGCTGCAAATGATGAATGAGGGAAATTATCTTTTTTTCAAAAGGTGGGGGACGCGTCTCGCAACGTTAGAAGCTGTCACGGCATTATGATCTATCGCGCCTCCAATATTTATATTATACCCCCGTCGAATTAAGCCAGCAGCAATATACGTCTACATTGCTCAGGTTGACGGGCCACAAAAATACTCATTTGTTCCGTTCAGGATTCGAAGTCAAGTTCAATGCAGAAAGGTTCTGCGTGAATCTCTAATGAAGACTCTCTTCAGTTCGTCCGCATTCGTCTCCGTGCTACTGGCTAGAACCATTTGACTGAGTTTAAGTAGTATCTCTCTGTCTGTCAAATATTATTCAGCAGTTCATCTAACAGCTAGTCAACTAAGCTCATATTTCAACCCGAAGAATATACTAATATCGCTTTAGTGGGACATAGTAATATAATGCATAACCCGCTCATCAAAATGACTTTTTGATTGCTACTAAAACCTGATTTGAAATACGAGTATCAGCTGCTTAGTGGGGCGCCGGCGGGTTAACATGCTCCTTGGCTCAAGAAGCGATTGCTTAATTTTCGTAATTTTCCTGCAGCCTGTGTTGTTGACCGAGCACACGACGGAAGCTGTTTCTTAAACGCAAATACGCACAAAAGCCCGATTTCGCGGACAGATAAGTCGCATGGTCGAGGCATGCGAGTTGGCTGAAAATTACTGTTGGTGGGAGAATTCTGCAGTCATTGCCGTTTTCCTTAGATGATCAAAACTGATTAGTATATTACCGTCTCTCCAGAGCCCATAGTTTCGGTTTCAAACGAAATCTCCTGAACGAAAGTTTGACATGAAAAGAACAAAAAACACAGTTGGAAAACAAAACTATGCTCTGCAAGTTTATGTGCACCGGCTACACTTAACCGTCTCAGTTCAAATACCTATAAAATTGGGCATTAAACAAAAAAAAAATCTGTTAAATTGAACGCGCCACCTGTTCAGGCGGCCCGGCCGAGCCGACGCGACCTGGACTCAGCCGCCATGTTTGTTTGGTGGTGGCGCCCCCTATAGGTCGCTGGAGTCGCGAATACGTTCGGCGTCCGCTCTCTCCCCCGCTCCTTGGCCACGTGCTGCCCTTTCTGCAGCGGCTCGGTCAGCTCCAGTTTGTCGCTTGATCTCCTTGATCTTGATCAGGGCTCGGCTGGCGGCCACCTTGTTGCTCTGGACCGTCTCCAGCAGTTGGCTGCTCTCCATGTGATCCTCCTTGAACCGAGCCAGCTGCCGCTCCGTCCTGTAGAGTGTGGCCGCGGTCCACCATGAGACCAGCCGCCGTGTCGTTCAGATGGCGGGTGTGGTGACGGTGTTGTCTATGAGCCAGCTTCGTGGAAAACAAGGAGGCAGACGACATGGGGCTCAGTTGAGGGTTGAGCCCGATGTTACCTTCGCATCCCTTCCAGAAAGTTCGAAATAACGGATCTGATGTGGGTACACAATCTTCTCCCCCCTCTTGAAAAGGGGGTCAGATCCGTGAAAGTAGAAAACTACCCCCAAAATGCGAGAGAGGCGAAGCCAAGGAGACACATACACACAGAAAAAAAAAGGTTCCTCTCTTTTTGGTGTCACCGACGTCGCAGGTTATACCGCCGCCTTGGTGGAGACAAGGGGGTTTCCTGAACGGTAATGCCGTCAGTGTTTTCCGGTCCTGCGAGGAATCTTCGTCCTCTACTTGAAAAAATCGTTTAAGGTCGGTGACATGAACAGGTCCGGTTTCCTCACTAGACTCACAGTGAATTAGTTTGCAAAAAAGTGCTCACCACTCACTTTATTGTAAGTGAGTGGTGAGCACTTTTCACGCACGCGAAACGGTCCTTCCGACCTGTTGGCGAGGGAGGCTGCGAAGCCTCGAGCGGCGTCACTCAGTGGGTGAGTACGCCGGAGTACAAAATCTCCCACCTCGATCTGCAAGTCACGTCGCCCCTGGTTGTACTGTTCTGCCTGTTGCACTCGGGCGACGTCGAGATTCTCTCGTGCATCTCGAAGG